AATTCTTTCTTTAAGTAATTTGAAGACAGTAGGTTTGTGCAGTGTTGCCACTTTGGGATCGGATTTTTATTTAGGAGGGAGAGGGGAGGAAGGAAGAACTATAAGGAAAAGGTGATGTAGAGAAGAGAGAGGAGGGAGAAACGTTAAAGGAGAGATAGGGGTAAGGAGAATAAAAGAGTGAAAGGGAGAAAGATTGAGTAAATGACAAGAAATTAGGGAAAGGAAAAGTAGAAAAAATCGAGAGGAAGAACAAGGAAGAGAATAAAGCGAGAAGAAGGAGACTTAAAGAAAAGGGAGAAAGGAAGGAAGGAAGAAATAGAAGAAAGAGGGAAATCAGCAGAAGAAGAAGAGGAAGAAGAAACGAGTGGAAAGGAAAGGAAAGGGGGGAAGAAACAAGCGGGAAAAGGATAATACCAAATAAGAGAAACAGAACGCGCCAAAAGAACAAGACGATGACGAAGACGAAGAAAACCGAAGAAGAAGTAGAAGTAGGACAAGAAAATGGGGGAGAAGGGGGGAGGGGGGGTGGGGGAAGCCTGCCCAAGAGCGTCCCGACGACCATTCATCATCACACGAGTAAGTCTGCGTTCGAGCCGGGGAATTTCGAATCATTATCATCTATCACCCAGGTATGGAGGTGGGGGGAGGGAGGGGGAGGGGGGTTTGGTGCCAGGTATGGAATTAAGGAAGGGAGGAGGAGGAGGGGGGGAAGGAGGAAGGGGGTGCCAAGAAGGGAGGTGGGAGGGGGTAGGGGGAGAGGGGAGGGGAAGAAGGAAGGGGGGGTGTTTGGTGCCAGGTATGGAATTAAGGAAGGAAGGGAAGGGGTGGGGGAGATGGGAGGGGGGAGGGGGTGCCAGGAATGGAATTAAGGGAGGAATGGAGTTGGGGAGGGAGTGGAGGGGGGGGAGAGGGAAGGGGGTGCCAGGAATGGAGTTGCCTGGAGAAATAGTTGGTGGGAGACGGCGTTCGTTCTGGAGCGTCTGGTTGTGTGGCGTGGAAAGTTTGAGTGTGAGTTGGTGAGTGAGTGACGGAGAGTGAGCGAGTAAGTTTGAGAGTGAGTGAGTGAGTAAGTAGAAGAGTGAGTGACGGAGAGTGAGTGGAAGAGTGAGTGAGTGACGGAGAGTGAGTGGGTGAGTAAGTAGGAGAGTGAGTGAGTGTACCAACGAGCAAATGAGTGATTGAGAGAGTGCAAAGGAGGAGGGGAGGTCCTCGCGAAGCCAGGGTTGAGTGGTTTTATGGATACCGGGAATGGAATTAAGGGAGGAATAGAGTTGCAGAGGGAGTGGGGGGGGGTAGGGGGGTAGGGGAAGAGGAGAAGAGTAGAGGGGAAGAGGGGAAGGAGGAAGGGGTGCCAGGAAGGGAGGTAGGGGGAGAGGGGGGTGAGGAGGATGTCTCACGTTGTCAGTCCCCCCCCTCCCCCCAAAGGTAATGATCGCCTGTGGGGAATCGCAAGCCTACCTTTAAGGGTGGTTGGGCTGAGGGAAGAGGGGGGGGGGAGTCAGAGGGGTTTGATAAATGATGATTGTGGTTAAGTGATAAATAGGGAATGGTAATGATGAAAACCCTGTTTAGAAAAAAAAGGGAGGATATGATGATGACGGCGAAGGAAAGGAAAATAGATAGAGAACTAGATGGATAGATAACTGATGATAGATAATAGATAATTGACAGACAATTAAAAACAGACAAAACCGCCGAGGCTGAAAACGATAGATAACGAAAGGAAAGAGTAGATAGATAGAAGAATAATAGTTAATAGACAGACAACTTAAAACAACATGCAACAAAAGAAAAGAAAATGAACGGGCCCCGTAGACACCCCTCCCTCCCTCCCTCCCTCCCTCCCTCCCCCTACTGACGGGCATTTAACTTAGTGCCATTGTCTTAGGGTTATTAGGCCCGTAATGAGGACTGCATAATGAGCATGTCAGGATCGCGGTTTTATGATACGCCTTTGTATTAATAAATATTTTTTTCCCTCCAATCGCGAGAAAGAGGTGAAAATGCCTTGGGGCGTGCAGGGGGCGGTGGGCGAGTGAGTTTGTGGGTGAGTGAGAGTGAGTGAGGGAGTAGATGGGAGAGTGAGTGAGTGAGTTAGCAACGGTGGGTGAGTGAGCTGTTGGGTGGGAGAGAGTGAGTGGGAGAGTGAGTGAGTGAGTGAGTGAATGAGTAAATGAGTGAGTGAGAGAGTGCAAAGGAGTGGGGGGGTGGGGGATTCTCGCGAAGCCAGGGTCGTGCGACGGAGAGAATGGGAAGAAGGGAAGAGAAGGCGGAGGAAGTGAGACAAGCAGATTACTCCCGCCCGCGCCCCGCCCGCCGCCGCCGGAGCCTTTGACTGATTAAAGCCGGTTTCGCGTGACAGCCTCATCGCGGGCTGACGGGGCCCCGTCAACAGCCCTCCTTATGATGATCAGCTCACGATTGCGTCAGCTTTCGGTACGTGTGGGGAGCAAGTGCGGGCGCGCGAGCTCGTCCGGCGGGGGCGAGAGACGGCCGACACCTCGACGCGGTCGCCATGGCGTGGGCGGCGGCGGACGGGTGGGCGGGCGGCTTGCAAAGGGGGGCGGGTTGATTGGCTGAGGGCGAAGCATTGTCATTAAAAGAGTTTGTTGTTTGTGCATGCTGGCCATCGCGGGTCGGCGCTCGACCATTGATTCGGGCGGAAGGGGGGGGGGGGGGATGTACCTGATTGAAGGCATTGTTCCTTCATTATTACTATTGTGATGAAGTGGCGGTAATGACGAGAGAGAGAGCGAGAGCGAAATAGAGAGAGAGCGAGAGAGAGAGAGAGAGAGAGAGAGAGAGAGAGAGAGAGAGAGAGAGAGAGAGAGAGAGAGAGAGAGAGAGAGAGAGGACAGACGGACCGAGAGGCAGACAGACAGAGAAAGAGAAAGAGAGAGAGGACAGCTTATGCAATGGAGATCTCCGGCTGTACAAAATTAATGTACACCGTCTCAGTGTGACGTCAGCGTGCCTCCCCCCACCCCCCTTGCAACTCGTCATTCACTCTGACCTCCATCGTCATGCAGAAGATTCCCCGCTTGGTTTTCATGATACTCGTTCCTTCGCGTTTTTGTTCATGAGCATAAGAATAATACCGATAATAATTAGTAGTAGTAGTAGTGGAAACGAAAAAAACAAAAACTGAGGTGGTGGTATTGGTCATAATCTCGAAAGAAAGCGAAGAAAAAATCGAACGGATAATACGAAGAGAAAGAAGAGAAAATTGAACGGAAAATACGAAGAGAAGGAAGAAGAGGAAGGGAAGGAAGAGAGCTGGAGGGAGGGAAGTTATTGCTTGTGCCATGTTTGTCAGGCAGACAGCTTGGGGAGAGGGAGAGAGAGGGAGAGGAAGAGAGAGAGAGAGAGAGAGAGAGAGAGAGAGAGAGAGAGAGAGAGAGAGAGAGAGAGAGAGAGAGAGAGAGAGAGAGAGAGAGAGAGAGAGAGAGGGAGGGGGGGGTAGAGATGGAGAGGCAGACACACCGACAGACAGGCGGGAGACGATCAGACATCCAGACAGACAGACAGTCAGACACCCCAGACAGACAGACATATAAGAAGACGGACATACAGAGAGACGGGACAGGCAGACAGGCAGACAGAAAGGTCACTAGACGTCAGTAGACGGGGTTAACTATGCAATCAATAGCTTACATTTTGCACGCCACATCGACACTGCCTGCGCGTGCCTGTGTTGTCACGTGGGGGAGACGGTGGCGGGGGAGGGGGGAGGGGGGATGGAAGGGGCGTGGTGGAGCTGAGTAGAAAGAGAGAAGCCCTCGCTCTCTTTCTCTCTTTTCCCCCTACCTTGCTCCTCCCACTTCCCCTCTTCTCTCTCTCTCTATTTTTCTCTCTCTCTTCTCTCTCTTTCCCTCCTTCCCTCTCTGTCTCCCCCTCTCCCAGTCTCTATCTATATCTATATATCTATCTATATTTGCCTATCTATATATATATCTAGGTATCTGTCTATCACTATCTATTTATCTAATCTGTCTGTGTTTGTATCTATTTAGTTATCTGTATATATATCTTTCTGTCTTTCAGTTTGTCTATTTTTATTCTTTTTATCCATCCATCCATCCGTCTGTATGTCTGTCTAACTATCTATAAGTTTATCTATATGTGTGTGTATGTATGTATGTATGTATGTATGTATGTATGTATGTATGTATGTCTGTTTGTCTGTAAGCATATTTACATTTTCTCTAATTCACAGGTTCCTCCTCCTCCCCCGTTTCTCTTTCCCTCTCTCTTTCCTCTCCCTTTCTTCTTGTCCCATCCTCTGTCTTTCACTCGTTTCTCTCCATTTTCTTCTTCTTCTTCCCTCCTCCGTATCTCCCTCTCCCTCGCCCCTTCGCCATGTGTGGACGTCGCCCGTGGAAAGTCTGTGGGGCGGCCGGGGAAATTGTGGCGAATATTTCTGCAAGGATTTTGGACGTTCTCTCGGGAACTGCTTTCTTGGGTGTTGAAAGGGTTATTGTTGTTGTTGTTGTTGCTAACCGATCCCTTTTTTTCATTATCATCACCATCGGTCATGATCATGAGTTTTAAATCATCATTATCGATAATCATCATCAATCATAATCATCATCATCATTATCACCATCATTATCATCATCAACATCATTATCATCACCATCATTAACACCATTATTATCATCATCATCCTCATCATCATCACCATCAATCATTATCATCATCATCATTATTATTATCATCATCATCACTCATCATCATCATCATCACCATCAATCATTATCATCATCATAACCATCATCATCACTCGTCATTATCCCCATCATCATCACCATCATCATCATCATCATCATTATTATTATCATCATCATCATCATCATCATCATCACCATTATCATCATCATTATCATCATTATCACCACCATCATCACTCGTCATTATCCCCATCATCATCACCACCACCATAACTATCGTCTATCATTATCTATAACCAGACATTAATTTCCATTTCTTTTTGTTCGCAGGTAAGTCTGGCAGTCCATGACTCAGCAGAAACGGCGTTACAGTAAGGGTAAGTTGGAGAGAGAGGCACGCAGACGCAGACACACACGCAGACAGACACGGGCACCAACAGAGAGGCAGACAGGCAGACACACACACACGTAGATAACTGCAGACAAAGGCAGAGAGAGTTAGATTGAGAGAGAGAGAGAGAGAGAGAGAGAGAGAGAGAGAGAGAGAGAGAGAGAGAGAGAGAGAGAGAGAGAGAGAGAGATGAGAGACGTCGCCCACTATCCAGTCCTCTCTTTCTACCCAAGTTCGTCCGGTGCCTTCTCTCTCTCTTTCTCTCTCTCTCTCTCTCCTTCCCTCTCTCTCTCTCTCTGTGTCTCTGTTTCTGTCTCTCTCTTTCTCTCTCTCTCTCTCTCTCTCTCTCTCTCTCTCTCTCTCTCTCTCTCTCTCTCTCTCTCTCTCTCTCTCTCTCTCTCTCTCTCTCTCTCTCTCTCTTCCCCCACCTCTTTCGTCAAAGAGAGAAAAGAGAATAGAAGATCAGAGGCCGAAGCAGCGAGCGCAGGGAAGAACAAACAGAACCGAAGAGGAGGGAAAAGAAGAATAAAAAACGAAGAACTGAAAAAAGAAAAAAAAACACGAGATATGATTACTTGATGAAAATGGAAGGGAAGCAGAACCGAAATGCTTTTTTTTTTTAAAGAACGGAACAGAGCCGAATTTGAGGAGGAGGAGGAGGAGGAGAAGAAGAGGAAGAAGGAGGAGAAGGAGAAGACGGTAACGGAGGCGGAGACGGAGAAGGAGGAGACGTAGACGAAGACGGAGACGGTGACGAAGCAGAAGGAAAAGCAGAAGAATAAGGAGGGATAATCATAAAAAAACCTTGCAGGGTCGAGTAGCAACAGGATTAATGCCAGGAACACGGACGGGCGGCGGCGGCGGCGGCGAGGACTGGGTCCGCCGGTATGAACAGTCATTCTACTCTTAGGTTGCTTGACTAAGGCAAGGGCGGGCGGGGGCGTCGGGGCGGCGGCGGGGGGGGCAGGGAGAGGGGGGGGGGTGCGCGCAGGGTACGAGACGCAGACCTGAAGGTTCTTCTGTACCTGTCCGGGGCATACCTGGACCTGAAACCTCGCTGGTCATCCCGGCGAGACCTGGGAATCGTGTACTTGAGTATGGGAGGGGGGGGGGTAGGAGGAGAGAGGGAAGGGGGGAAGAAGAAGAAGGGAGTGAAGGAGAAGGGGGGGGGTAATCTGCTACTCCTCTCCCTTCCTTTCCTCCCTTTACCTCCCCCCCTTTCCTTTTTTTTTTAACTCCCTCTTGCCTTTTTCTTTTTCTTCATCTTCATCTCCTCCTCCTCCTCCTCCTCCTCCTCCTCCTCCTCCTCCTCTCCTTCCCCCCTCCTCTCCCTTCACTCTCACTTCCACTACCTTTGTCTGCTCCCCGTAGAAGAAAAGGAAGGAGCAGATACGGACGATAATAATTGTTAGGATTAGTTAGGAAATGGGTAAACACTTTGAGTGACAGTGTGAAGCAAAAAAAAAAAATCGTTCTCTGGCACACGGACGTAAATATTTCTCGTATTTTGGCTGTTCTAGAAGTTTCTTGAGGAGTTAGGAAGTGTAGCCTGTATGTGTTTCTACAGTTAGCCTTTTTTTGTATTGTATTTCTTTTATTATAATGTTCTAATACTTTTTTGTTTGTTTGAATTCTTGCCTAATCCCCGATCAGACGAATCAAGTCGTTTAGCTGCTCGTTTAAATGGATTATTTTAACCACCATTCAGTAGTTATCCTCACCGGGCGCTGTCATGGCCGCCGTTTACGTCATCAGTCTGTCTGTACGGAAGACAAACCGCTGCGGCAGAATGTAAGGGGAGGCTCTGCGTGTCTGACACACTATCTCTCTCGCCTTTGTTTCTCTATCTCTCTCTCTCTCTTTCTTTCTTTTTTTCGTTTCCATCGCTTTCTCGTTTTCGGATCTCTTTCTCTCTTTCTTTGTCTTTCTCCTCTTCGTGATTTTTCTCTTTCTCTCTTTGTCTTTGTCTTTTTTTGCTTTTTCTTTCTCTTTTTTCTCTTTCTCGTTCTTTTTTCGTTCTCTCGCCTCTTTCTCTCTCTCTTTTTTCTCTTTCTCGTTCTTTTTTCGTTCTCTCGCCTCTCTCTCTCTCTCTCTCTCTCTCTCTCTCTCTCTCTCTCTCTCTCTCTCTCTCTCTCTCTCTCTCTCTCTCTCTCTCTCTCTCTCTCTCTCTCTCTCTCTCTCTCTCTCTCTCTCTCTCTAACTCTTTCACTTTGTCTGTCTCTTTATCCATGTCTCTTTCCCTCTCCTCGCCTCCCTCCTCCTCTCATTCATCTCTACCTCTCCTTTTCCCTGAAGAAAAAAAAAATGTTCATCGGTTAAATAACAATTAAAAAATAAACTAAACTATAAACAGACCGAGAAGATGAACCGCCAAGACACACGAGGAATTCTCGATTGACTCATTTTGCGGCCGACGAGGGAGCCGCCGTCATGGGCACATCGCCGCCCATCCGAACAAGAGCGTCTCACTTCTGCAGTCACGAATGCTTGCACGCAAATCCCCCAGGCAGGCGAGGCATGTAACGGCACACGCGCTTGCAGGAATTAAAAGATGCTTTGGGGATGTGTGGGATTTTTTTTTTTGGTTTGTGTGTTCGTTTGTGCGTCGGGCTGTGTGTGTGTGAGGGGGGGGTTTGTTTGTTTATGCAATGTGAGTGTTTGTTTGTGTGTTTTTTGTTGTTGTTTGGTGTGCTATGTATGTATTCGAGTAAATGTGTGTGTGTGTGTGTGTGTGTGTGTGTGTGTGTGTGTGTGTGTGTGTGTGTGTGTGTGTGTGTGTGTGTGTGCGTGCGTGCGTGCGTGCACACGTGTTTTACTGCCGGTCGCCCTTGAAGGATGAGGATGGCGGCCAACCAGGATGGAGAAGCTGTAGGCATGCGCGTCTAGCCAAGCCAAGCCTCGTGTTTGCTTTTGTTAAATGAAGCGCTCGACTGTGTTATCACCGCCGGGATTAGATTGGTTCTTTTACTTCGGGGGAAAGCAAGGAATCAATTGACCCCCCCCCTCTCTCTCTCTCTCTCTCTCTCTCTCTCTCTCTCTCTCTCTCTCTCTCTCTCTCTCTCTCTCTCTCTCTCTCTCTCTCTCTCTCTCTCTCTCTCTCTCCCTCTCTCTCTCTCCTCTCTCTCTCTCTCTCTCTCTCTCTCTCTCTCTCTCTCTCTCTCTCTCTCGCTCTCTCTCTCTCTCTCTCTCTCTCTCTCTCTCTCTCCCTCTCCTCTTTCTCTCTCTCTCTCTCTCTCTCTCTCTCTCTCTCTCTCTTTCTTCCCCTCTCTTTTACAGATTTCTTTCCTCGTCGTCTAATGAAGTCGGTGCCAAGGGAGTGCCAAGAGGGCCCGAGACTCCATCGGCGCGGAGGCTTCGATGCGGTCATGGCCGGAGGCGGTGTGTGTGTGTGGGGGGGGGTAAAAGCATTCAGGGCGCACGCAGAGAAAAAAAAAACAGAGATGAGTGTAAACAGATTGCACAACGGGTGGGGGGGGGGTGATACATTTGGGTTACATACACGCACGCACATGGACACGTACATGAACACAAAGGTACAGAGAGTTAGGTAGATAGATAGATAGATAGATAGTTAAGTCAGTGAATGAGAGAGGGAGAGTGAGAGAGAGAGAGAGAGAGAGAGAGAGAGAGAGAGAGAGAGAGAGAGAGAGAGAGAGAGAGAGAGAGAGAGAGAGAGAGAGAGAGAGAGAGGAGAGAAAGAGAAAGATACAGGGAAAAGAGAAGAAGAGGAAGAGAGAAGAGCAGGCGTAACGAAATCATCAAACGCACAAGAAAACGGGATGAATTTTATGAGAAAAGAAAAAAGAAAATAGAAATGAACAGCGAGCGATCCTCCGGCGGCAGACAGCAGGCAGGCAGCAGATAGTTAGTTGACAGCAAATAGCAAACAGCAGATAGCAAGCACCAGACAGCAGAAGCACACAGGCAGCCAGACCCGAAGGCAATCAACAAGGTAAACAAAGTGACCCGAAACAACACAAAACGAAAAAGATCACTTCCATTCCCGACGAGGCTGAACGCAAACAAGCGACGGCGGGAGAGGGACTCCAAGCAACGCAAACAAGACTCTCTTGCGGCTCCCGATTCGTCTCCCCCCCCCCATTTTAGGTCCCCCCCTCCCCGGTTTAGTCCATTGCCCCCTTCCTTTCATTCGTTACTTTGCCCTTTTTTATCCTTTATGGTCCTAAATTCCTTATTCCCCCTTTTCCGTTTCATTACTTTCGTCGCTTGCTCCATACTTCTCTTCGTCCTTTGCACCTTATCTCTTATCTCTTACTCTCCACCCCCCTCTCCCTCCCCTCTCCTCCTCCCCCTCCCCCGTCCCTCTCCCCCACCTGACAGCACAGAGAGGCATTGACAGCTCCAGCCTGCAGAAACCAAGACGTGATACAACCATGACACAGCAGTTGGCAATTTAACTTAACGATCAGGCGGAATCCCCTGCAAATGTGACACTGCGCCAGCCGGTAGGAAGGTTAGAGTTAAGACAAGAGAGGGAGGAGGGACGGAGGGACGGAGGGAGGGAGGGAGGGAGGGAGGGAGGGAGTGAGTGGATGACTGACTGACTGACTGAGTGAGTGACTGACTGACTGAGTTAGTGACTGAGTGAGTGACTGAGTGATTGAGAGAGTGAGTGAATAGGGAAGGGGGGAGGGAGAGGATGGGAGATGAAGGGCGTAGGACGGTAGGGACAGATCGAAGAAGGAAGTGGAGGGAAGGGACGAGATGAGAAAAGAGAAGAGAGGAGAGGAGAGGAGAGGAGAAGCAGGGGTTCGAAGACTGCAGATACGGTTGCTTGGGGGGGGGGGGGGGAGTTTTGGGAGAGGTGTGGCGACGAGCGGCGTTTAGAAGTGTGTAAAGAGAGGGTTGCGCGGATAAAGGACCGCGAAATAAAAGGAGAACTGAGCCACAAAAATGGAGTGGAATGAAAAGGATAATTCGGAGACGAAAAGAGGAAGAGAGGAGTGAAAGGGGGGGGGAGGCGCAGGCCAAACAGGAAGCGGGGGGGAAGGGGGGTGTTTTGTCAGCCAGCGCCGCCCACGCCCGATTGCCCTCCTGACG